CAAAAACGGAGCAGGAGGGTGGAAGATTCTAGAAAAGCTGGGCTAAGAGACTACTGGTTTTCATTTTAAGGTGGCATGATCAATTGACTTAAAGTGTTCAGGTCCTTTCTTTTTTTACTTTGATAAAAAAAAGTTTAATGTTTTTGAAAAAGATGCTATGTGCTATCAAACAGATTTACAAACATAGTGCTTTGCATATTGAGGAAGTAGAGATTCATCTGCCTAGACATCCTTCTGTCATGGAAGACGATGAGTGTGGCAGAGACTGTCAGTGTTTGGCAATTATCTGTGTACTCTTCTGCATGTTGTAGACACCTTGCAATTAGACTGGGTTCTTGTGACTGGTTGGCCAATGGGATGTGGCTGGAAGAGATAGAAGTCATTTGTAGACTAGCTCTTAAAATAATCCTGCAACATCCTGACTATTTCTTCTCTGCAGTAGCAACTTTGGAGGCCAGTTTCTAAATGGTGAGGAGGGTGCCTGGCCCACATTTGACTTTGCATGAGTAAGAAATAAACTTTATTGTGTTATTAACCACAAATTTTTGGCTTCACTTTTTAACATGCTTTATAGATAGGCTATATGAAAGGTAACAGGCAGCATAGAACAGTCGTTAAAGGGAGGGATTCTGGAACCAAATAGACTGGGTTCAAAACCTAGTGCCACCACTTATTAGCTGTGGGATCCTAGGCAAGTTAATTTCTCTTTGAGGTTTTCTGTATGAAAGTAGAAGTGGAATATAAAGACAGAGTATATAGCTTAGGGAAGGAGACACATTAAGACTGATATGAAATAAGGAATTTATTATAGGGACTGGACTACACATGATTTTGGGAGCTGGGGTATCTACAGAAGGTTGTTGTCTCTGCCTCTGGGAGTGGTCCTGCAGGTGAGCAGGACTAGTAGTTGGGAAGAGAATTAGATGTAAAGAGGGTGAGAGTAAGACAAATGCTGCATTGAATTGCAGTTGTCACCACCTCCAACCTTGATGACAGGAGTGCCCTGCGGAAGGACAGTAAGTTGATCCCACAGATACTGCGTCAGTGTGCCTGAGTGGCAATGGAGCCTGGTACCCTGCATCAACTGACTTTCAGAACATATGGCTCCTGCTTCATTTCTGGCTTCCAAATTCCACGAAAGTTTCTCTTTTGGCGAACTAACCTAGAACCATATAAAATATAGACTTTGGGAAATGTAGGTCTAGATTAGGATCCAATTGTGGAGGGTCCCTGGATGCAGCTTTTGAGAATGTTGACATGTTGTTAGAATTGACTTTTATTCTCTATTTATTGCATACCTACTGTGTATTTATAAATCAGTCTGCTTCATTTTATTACTTAGAAAGGCTTACTGTACCTTTTTTTTTCTGTTCATCAAGAATAATCTTTATCATCAGTGCATGTTGATAATTCCAGGGACAAGAGTGTTAGACATAGTGGGTGTGATTCAGAGTCATTGCCAGTAAAATAGTAATAATATTATCTGTTTTCAAAGTGCTTTGGGGCATTTGGAGGAAAGGTATTACTGGATGTAGGTATAAAGTTAAAAGGGAACTTCAAGATGAATGATGCTTACATGATGATGGCTTAATAATATGTTTCAGAGGGACAGATAAACTACAGTGTTTGAAAGAAAGGAATATTGCTACTTAATGGCACAAGTGGTCCAGATTGAATACTTTTAGAGAGTAGTTCTCCTTTTTGGCATTGTTGAAAACAAAGGTGTAGTGCCTCTCTGAACAGAAAAATTGCTTACTACATGATTTATGTGGTGATAGATATGCTCTTTGCTATCTATTGAAATTCTCCCATCCTTCAAGGTCCACATTTTCATCATTCCTTCCTTGAAGACTTCTCTGAGGCCTCAACTAGAAGGCATATTTCCTTTCTTTAATTTTCATGATACTTGATTTTAAAAAATTATTCTTATCATATATGGTTATCTTTTTTTTACTAAGGTATCATTGATATACACTCTTATGAAGGTTTCACAAGAAAAACAATGTGGTTATTACATTCACCCTTATTATCGAGTCCCCCACCCCCCATGCCCCATTGCAGTCACTGTCCTTTGGTGTAGTAAGACACATATATGGCTATCTTTACACTGAGATGTAAAACAAGGGAAAGAGTCATAGATGTGGGTTAGAATCCTGGTTTTCTACTTACTGTGTGATTTTGGGCAAAGTACATAACATCCCCTAGATTCAATTTCAACTCCCTTAAGTTCAGAAAAGCTGCCCTGAAGTACCTACAACATAGTTATAAAATGAATGCTAACTGCCCTCATTCTGCTTTTTCTTTCTTTAAATTACAGCATCCCCAACTGGTTTTAATCACTTTAAAGATAAAAGGATTATCTCAATAGTTGTTAAAATAAACAGATCTTTGTTGATCCTTCTCAGCATTTAGTCCAATGTGTGACTGTGGACATTCAATATAATGCCGTGAAGAACAGATTAAAGAACAAGGAAGCAACTCACTCGGTATGGGTTCCTACTGAATAATGCTTCTGGAATGGGGTAAATTCCTAGTTTATAGTCTTAATATATATCTTCCAAGGCACTTGTTTCATCAGAGAGTTAAGGCTGCATGTCTCGATGGAGCTTCTGTAGTGACATCCACTGCTGAAGATTAAACAAAATCATAAGTACTTCTGGAGAGAACAGAAAGGAGCTTTTGAGGTTCCCCCATCCCTACTTTTCACCAGGGCCCAGGGGATACTTTCAGAAGTAGAGCATGATGGAGTGTTGGCTCCCAGAAGTCCACCTTCCTGTCTCGAGCAGAATATCAAAGTGAGGGCAGCCTTTCTGACAGAGCTTCCTCCATGCTGGGCCCTACTGAAAGACCATTATTAACCCCACCAATTCATGTCCAACTGGCATCAATCATTTGGGTCACACAATGCCTGACTGTAAATTATGACATTATCTCTGAGTACGAAGGTGATAATAATAATAATCATTTTAAAAAAAGCTCCCAGCATGGCCCCGGCCAGCTGAGGACCTTCACCGTATCTGTCATATTTGTTCTGAACATGAAAGGCTTGGCTGTTCCCTTGCAGGCCCATACATCACTGGGCCTGTCATAGGTTTCTGTAGGACCAGTTGACACAGCTCTCAGAACAGTAGCTGCTGGACGGCTTTGGGGAGCCTGACTCAAGAAATAGTTGCTGGGGTACAGGGACCACAAGCATTCTTCCAGAGCCTGACATCCTGTTGAGCTGTCCTGCCAGGGTCCTCAGTAAGTCACAACGAGGAGTAAACTGCTGTCACTGAGATGAAAGGCCCCCTTCCTCTGATCTCTCCACTACAAAATTACTTCAGTGCCACACTGTATTTTATGTCAATACCTATTTTATTTTTCAAAATTGAAAAAGATATAAGTACATTGTTCCCTGAATTCCTGATGCTCTGGGTAACCTAGCAACCGAGTATGCCACATAGCACACAACAGAATATTACCATGCACTCCACTCAACTAACAAGCAAGCAGCACAGATTTCCCTTGCAGATGATTTAGCTAAATTAACGGTTAATAGTTGCTATTAATATTAAAAATAATAATAACCTCTCTTTTTCATTTCTTAGGGCTAGATTTCTAGGGAATAATGCTTGGTTCTAATTGTACATGTGGGAAAGTGTTTTTCACTGAGCCTGTATCTTCCAAGTGATTTGCATGGGATTTAGGTAGCCAGCAGCATGCTGCAAAGTGATAATCACATGGAACAGGAGAATACATTCAGGACATTTGGAAACCATGCAAAATTTTCAAGTTCAAAATTGACTCACGCTTTCCACCTCTGGGAAGATGCTGTCAATAAGTGGCTTATGTGAACTGATCAGACCATTTAGCCATGCTGACACTGCCCTGATCCTCAGGAAGCCCTCTAGCAAGCAGCTCTAGGACAAGAATGAAGCCAAGACAAGAATGAAGCCAGAACAAGAGTTAGGGTCAGGGAGAAGTTCAAGGAGCTCTGACCTGAAAGAACTTGGGCAAGGTCATGACACAGAGCAAGTGTCTGCTGAAGAATGCCAGAGGTCACAGGGAAGAGAAGAAAGAGTAAAAGGGAGGCTAGACAGAACAAAGGAGTAAAAAAGGATGTCTCCAGGAACAAGGAGGTAGAGTATAAAACACACATGCAGCATCATGAAACAGGAGGTGGGTGGGCTCTTTTTTGATAACAGTCTAGAAGTGCAAAAGTTGGTGGATAGATATCTAAAATAGGCTTTCATGTCCACTTGCCCTTTGCTCTAGAGTTCCTTTCTAGTTGACCCACCTGTTTGTGTTTTGTGAAAATCAGCTACTTAAACATATATGCACACACATACACACTCTTTCATTAATGGGGCCTTGTGAATAATTCTCTGTTCACTCTTCTTTCCTCCTTTAAAAGCAATCAATTTAATTTGGTAGCTTCTTTCTTGAGCCACTGGAACTTTAAGAAGCCTTTGCAACTTTCTTAGAACTCAGACCTCAAAGACAACCCTTGAAAAGTCCTGCTGTTTCTCTCCTTAACTAGTCACCTCAATCTGAAGAACTAAGGGCCTTTCATTTTGAGTGCGTCCTGCTGCTTTTTAATAACCTACGAGTAAATTAGGCATTTTCGCCTTCAGGTTACAGCTGTTACAAATAATGTTTCCTTCCAATCACAAAGAAAATATTTTAATACCTTCTAAGACTCTGAACTACCTGTTATATTAAAAAAGTGTCCAGTGCCTAAATCTAAATTGAATTAGCTTCATTTGCAGATATCACTATAAAACTGATTCTGGAAATACTGTTTTTTCTTAATTAGAACAAAAATTTAAGAGCACATTTTGCTTGTCAACAGGCCAAAGCAATTTACTTACTTAGAAAGCATTTTGGTATTATAGTCAGGAATAGCCCCTCCTGTCTCTGGTTTCTAAATGCTCACATTTTGTGCCGATTAAATTGCAAACCATTTGGTTGCACTCCTTGCCACCTGGGAACTGACAGGACACTAAATATCATTGCAGTGCAGCAAAGCATGGAGATGCTTCGAGGACAGCAGAGCTGAAAACATGAATACAATGCATAAGCTTTTGACTGGATGGCAGAATGGCGATGGGAATCCGGGAATCCACAACAATCTGCAATTGTGCAGTATTCGGATTTGCTCAATTTTAAAAAAAGTATTTTAGAAAGCAGAGAACTGGTGTGACAATTTTTCCATGGAAGCCTAGAAGGATTGGCTGCTTTAAAAAGGACCACATTAATGTATTTGTGCCCAAACACTTGTAAAAGCCAGACCACCCATGGGGAATGTGTTCTTCTCAAAGCTGCAGCAGAGTGACCTGTGCATCCGAGGGTTTCTGTTGCTGAGGTGATGGGATGGGAGGCTGAGATGCCTGCCTTCTGAATTTGCAAGAGCCCTTTAGGGCAGTGACACAGAAAGGATGCACCCCCTCAGTGCATTAGAATAAATCTGTTGATTGTTTCAGGTATGGGATTTAAGGGAGGGTGTGACTTGAAGGGTTGCTCCAAAAGAAGTTAACTTTTCTTTTCCTTATTTTAAAATACTTTTTGTTATAAGAGCATTGATACAATGTCAAGAGGGAAACTGAGAAATCCATGACTGATTATGGAGACGACTGATGACAGTGTTGAAGGTTTTAGTGCACTGTAGCGAAAGTCACCACAGTGGAAAAGTCGCTGTCAGTGAGGAGACTATGGCCTTGTGTTCATCTGAAAACAACTGTGAGCAGATGGACATTGGTTAAAAAACAGAGTGGCTTTGAAATCGAATTTGAACTCTGTGAGTCTTTTATTACAAAATACCAATATTACAAAAAATATCAAGGATTACAAAAAAACAAACCCTTCAAAGACAGACCAAAAAATGATCCTTACAGGCTTATTGTGGATGCTCTAGGGGAGTGAACAATGAACCCTCTTCCATGACTGAGTGCCCCTGCCACTGGCCTGGGGTGAGGGTGACCCTGGTCACCCTGCAGCTTTATGCTGAGAACCTGTGAATGCTGCTCTCAAGGATGGGGGTGAGGTGGGCGTCACTGGCCCTCAGGAAATCTTAATGCTTTTCAGAGCTGGCCCTGCTTCCTTCTTCCACAGATCCCTCTCATTCCAGGTAAGCAATACCCTCAGGCCTCTCAGTAAGAGTCATCACTTCTGGCTTTCTTAGTTAGGTGTCTGTATCTGAAAAGCAGACACTTGGAGTGACACTTTCATTTAACCCAAAGAAATACGATATTAGTGATGGTGTCCTGGGCATCCCAGTGATGGAGATTTATTTTGATAGGGGATGAGCCTGGTATCTCTCATACTGCCTCATGGCGGGAAACTGCCTAGAAAGTATAACCATACTCCATTGTTCACTTGAGGCCAAAGGCCTTACAACACAAAGTTTCCAAACTTTTTATCATAACATTCAACTTAGTAAAAAAATCTATTATTTTAGACATAGAATTTGCCTATCTATAAATGCTGTCTTGTTATACTTTAAATTTAACTTATTTGATAAAAGAAGATAGCATTAGGTTGGAAATCATTTTTAGTAAACATCTTGTGGAACTCTTGATAAAGATGATGATATGCAAATAATGTGACTTCATTTCACTCTGATTAGAAGTCAATGTAATGCTTAAAGAAAGCATTACAGGGTGTTAATAATACAGTATGCTAAAAATTTGCTTAAAATAGTACAATGTTTAAGCAATACTCTTGCTTAAAAAGATTATTATGATTCAACTCAATAAACAACCAAAAAACAACGAAAACCAAAACAAAAAAACTAATCTCTTATGTGATTTAGAATTAGATAGTATTATTAAGTATTTTAAAAAACAGTGGTCCTGGTTTTCTTTCGCCCCCCTCCCTCCTCCTTTCTTGTTTTCATCTTTTACTATCTGCCCCTCCTGGAGTCAGTCAGACATATTCTGGCAAAACAGGAGTGCAATACACTCTTGCTGTCCCCACAGCAGCAGCCCCTGGCTTCAGAGTGTGAGGTGGGGCTGCAGGACACTGTGGTCATGCCCTGCCCACTGCCCCTGACGTGGAGTGTTCATGTGGGCATTTATGATGACTTTGCTTCAGTGCCAGAACAAATAAATTATGTTGTTTTTTAGTGCCTTGCGTAGCAGTTTTCTTTTGTCACTTTAAAATTCAAGTGAAGCAGTTTGCCTGGATTTTGTGTCATTTCTGAAGACACATAGCAAATCAAGACATGTAGTCTTCATAAAGATGTTTTAGTAGATGAAAACCCAGAGCACTGAGAGGGTGTGTGAGTTGGGAGGACCCATTGTGCCCCATGTCTTAGGAGCTTGGATGCCAGGCAAGGTGAGATGCTATTTTCCCTTATTTCTGAATAATTCAGTGTACTGCCTCAGAGTCCTAATTTCTTTTCAGGCATTCAGTGGACAGCAAAAAACCTTGCTGGAGAAGGTTTACAAATTTTTTCCCATCAAAATAAAGATTCTGAAATAATCATATCATTTTAAACCAGAAAAGGAAAAAAGGTTGAAAAGTTGAACAAGAAGTTTGAAATTATATTTCCTGTGACCTCACCTAAGCCATTTGCATTGAAGTATTTGAAACGTATGTAGGAAAACATTAGGAAATTTGAAGAGACATTTTTATTTCAAAAAATGAAATTCCCATCACTGAATGTAAATACAAACTATAGTCATAATTTTTCAGGTGATTTTTGAGTTGTAATTATAAAAATGCCAACTGTGGAGTAAATGGCTGGTACCAAGAATTGATTAGTTCACACTTTTTAAATGTTTCTAGTTTCTTTCATTGAAGAAGTACTAAGTAATACACCAACACTGGCACAAGCTAGAGATCTGACTTCCAAGTTGGTAGGATAGCCTTAGCTTCATTCTCTTGCACTGAACAGCCAGGAAGTGGTATCCAGTGTGTGTGTGTATGTTTATGTGGCTACTATTAAGAGATGCTTATCAATTAATATATCAAAAAATATAATCCTTGGAAATCTATTTTTCCAGAAATTGCAGATAAAAGAATAGCTGTATTTCTTGGTGGCTTCACTTAAAATGACCACATAAAGGCAAAAAAAAAAAGAAAAAAAAGAAAGAATAACAATAATAAACAACAAAGACCACTCTATCCTCAAATGTACATACACACATATACAAATGAAACCTTGCTAGTTAAGTCCATTAGTTCTAGTCACAAACAGTAGACGACTGAATTAGATACCAGAGGAATATTCTGCTCTGGTCATCTCCCTGCAGGGTCATTTGCTAGGCAGTAGTACAATGCTAGACACTTGCTAATGGGGTTAATTGCAGCCACACGTAGGTTTTCTTTTGGGATGATAGGGCACTGCCTTAAAATTGATCCATGCACTGTCAAGGGACTAATTCTGGGCTTCCTTTCAGCCCCATCCTCATCCCGTGACAGACTGCTGCTACCTAAAGGCCCTCAGACACACTTGCCTGGGTTTGCACGAAGTGTGGGAACAGGCACAGAGCTGGGTCAGAGGGCATGGAGCCAATGTCGCTACATGCATGTCTCTGCTTTTGTGCTGGCCCTGGCTTCGTTCTACTTTATGCAGATTCCACCTCCGCAAGATCCAGACTGTGCCATATGGGATTCCTGTGTATTACTATCAAGGACACATGCCTGTGGGAACTATTCTAATGAAGGACCAACCCAGGCACTGCTGCCTGAACTGTCACTTTTCCCAGGAGAATTTTTGTAAGGGGGGCCTAGGGGTGACGTCTGGGGGCAAAGACATTCTCAGTGTCTGGGAAAAGAGTTGTGTGTCTGGTTCTTTACAGAGTGTGTGTATGGAAATGAAAAGTTTTAGGGTAGAATTTTCTGAAGAAAAAAATTTACTTTTGTTTTCTTTGTATTTCTGTTCCCCTTAGTTTTTCTCCATTTTTCCCTTTGTTCTTTTGTTGCCATTATTTTTTGTGCATGGTCTTGTGTACTTGACTTTATCATTTCTGATGTTTGCTTTCCTTCCATCTAATTGTGCTTAATTTAAAAATGTCATGCTTGGATTTTCTCTCAGATTCTGTTGCTGATCTGTTACATCAAGTCACATTTCCCTTGCTGATTCTTCATTCCTTTATCGACTCTCATGTGCTTTAAAGCTGTATCTCTTCCTCTCCTCTTCCTATGTGCTATAACTTGTATATTTCTATTTCTCAGCATTGTGCCACTCTTACTTTTTCCAAGCCTTGTTGTTTGGAACTTTTCTCATACAGTTTCACTTATTTTAGGTAGATGCATTCATTTCATTGTTACTAAATAAAAATAAAATAACATTATTTTTGTCTTCCTTCTCTGTTTTCTACTCAGTCTTCTCTATCTTTACCTCATTTTTTTTTTCTGAGAGGGCATCTCTCATATTTATTGATCAAATGGTTGTTAACAACAATAAAATTCTGTATAGGGGACTCAATGCACAATCATTAATCAACCCCATGCCTAATTCTCCACAGTCTCCAATCTTCTGAAGCATAACGAACAAGTTCTTACATGGTGGACAAGTTCTTACATAGTGAATAAGTTCTTCCATGGTGAACAGTGCAAAGGCAGTCATCACAGAAACTTTTAGTTTTGATCACGCATCATGAACTATAAACAATTAGGTCAAATATTATTCATTCGATTTTTATACTTGATTTATATGTGAATCCCACATTTCTCCCTTATTATTATTATTTTTAATAAAATGCTGAAGTGGTAGGTAGATGCAAGATAAAGGTAGAAAACATAGTTTAGTGCTTTA